ATTTTTTAAAAACACGTATAAAGTCTTCAGACAAACGCTTATTTAAATTTTTTTTAACTGTAGTTCTTGTAGTTCTCTTTTTAGTTCTCCTTCAAAAATTTATCAGAAAAATATGAAATTGGTATTTTTTATCATGCTTTATCTTAAAAGTTCTCCGTACTTTTGTAATTTTCATCAATTACAGATAAAAGCGTTCGCATATTTCGTTTCTTAAAACGTCGTTATAATTGCTTTCTTGATAAGACATCATACAGTAATTAGGATGTCTCGTACTTCATAAAGTATTTTTTTTTTAAACGGCTTAATATTTGAATAGTAATTATTTAAAATATTAATTTAATTTAAAGTTGTTTAATAATTTATAGTAATTTAAAATATTAATTTAAAGTTGTTCAATATTAAATTTTCTTAATTCTTCAGTTGCATTACGCAATTATAAATCATCCAACATAATTGCATATATGTATATATGTTAATATTAATGTCTATCCTTAACAAAATGTTTAAATATGTTTATGTATGTAACATACGAAGGTGAAGCGACACGTATATAATATTTTATAAAAGACCACTGAAGAGGGCTTGATGTAAAACCGAAACGATCGTCTGGTAGCATTAATGTAATTTTTTATATGAATATAACGCGGATTAGCACAAAGACCTTACTTGATTCCTGGTCCATTACAATTATTTATTTTAAATTTTAATTCTCGGAGCCTGAATATATTGTTCAATTTAAAATAATTTTTGTGATATTTAATTGTAGGCGTGTTATAAGGGTTGAAGAAATGAAATATAATTCGTGAGCTAAATATGACTTTTATTCGTGCCCGTCGCGAGACGTCAGACCCAGCGACCGATTTCTCAAAACCGACGAAGTCGACGACCGTCGCAAAAATCTGACGTTGCCCAATAACGGTTCCGGCACGTCACCGGTTCTTGTCCGTCGACCCGAGGTGAAAGAGCAAACAATACATGAAAATATCAATATCATATGCATATAAATGTCATTAATATCAACAATGTAATAATGACGGAGCCGCACGACCTGTTTAAACGTTTATCTATATCCCAATGGTCTACATTGTATCAAAAAGTTTGATATCCTTTTTTTTTTTTTCGAAACGGCTACGGTGAAAAAAATCGAGATTTGCGTGATTAATTAGCGATTAAACAGGAGATAATTTCTACGCAATTCGACAGGCAATTTCTACCCATTCGATTGTGCTGAAGAGATTGATTATTAACTCTTTTCCGCGATTATGGTTCTCTGGCTGCGCTAACTTCGCTGAGCGGCTGTCATTACATTGACTTTTGATAGTTGTATGTATTGAGGCTGATGTATAATTATAGTCAATTATAATAAAAAGTAAAAGTGCAATTAAATAGCGCGCGCGAAGCGCGCGTCTGTAATGCTAATGTTTGTTAAAAAATGCATTTTATTTTATTTATTATATTTAAAGCTATACCCTTTTAGCCATAAAACATTTTTTCACTCTCATATTTAGTTATCAAATTTAGATCCAAATTCAAATCCAAGTCCGTTACAAACTTAAATTCGATTTCGAATCTAAATTTGTTGCGAATCCAGATTTGAATTCGAAATACGGATCCAGATCCGATACTTTTATTATTCCGGTATCTTAAAAGGTTCGAGTATCCGGATAACCCGAATTTGAAGCGTCACATTTATTCGTAATCCGGACAAACGGATATCCGGATAGCATGAAATCCGAACGTATCTTGAAGTCCTAAATTATAGAAATGTCGAGCTGACGCAGATAAGCAGATTTCAAAGTTAGCGCAAATCCCGCACTTCTCGTCACGTGGACTGCTTTTAGTTCGCCACCTCCGTGGCCAAAGACAGGTGGCGCCGGCTTTTCGTTCGTCAGGGAGGGCGTTTTGTCGATGAATTGCGAGTATTGCGACGGATAGACAAGGAAGGAAGGGAGCGAACGGGGGAGAGAGAGAGAGAGAGAGAGAGAGGAGCGTGTGGATTCTGTGTGGATCGCGATCGTGCCATCGTGGATCACGGTCGGCCAAGATGGCGAACCGTCGCGGGAGCTGAAGGGCTACCGCGCTCGTTCTCGACGTTCGTCGCACGGGGTGTTTACGCGCGTCCGCGAAGTCGCGTATTATGTCCTCGTACACGTTCTCGCAGAGGCTGTTCACGCCAACGCCGCCGGAGCGCGGCAGCTTCCCGCTGGACCATGAGGGCCGTTGCAAGAGCACCATGATCAGGTACATGCGCTGCCTGGCCGATAATCGTAATCAGAACACGATGTGCCGCGACATCGCCAGGGAGTACCTCGGCTGCCGCATGGACCACGACCTGATGGCGCGCGAGGATTGGTCCAAGCTCGGCTTCGCCGACAAGAGCGAGGGCGTCAAGGAAACGTAACGTCGATATCGTTAGCAGTCATTCTCGAGAGCAGGTATCCCAGGAAAGGAGGGGATCATATCTTTAATCGTCGTCGTCGTCGTCGTTGCCGTTGTCGTTGTCATTGTCGTTTGTTCTCCTTGAGAGTACCTGGCATACTCTGTAGCTAATCTCGGTGCTCTTGGAACTTTCGATATATATAGGATGCCATAACGATAATTCCGGTGATTTAGTGTGTTCATACGAGAATACGCACTGCCAGCCAGGTGTAACAAGGACTTCCTCTATGCCAGTGTTGTTGAGAAAAAATTAACAATAGTATTTAAAAAAGACCAACGGGGAACGAGAGAGAGAGAGAGAGAGAGAGAGAGAAACTGAACGATATTAAAAATACGCGTATCTACCTTTTATTTTCATAAGAAGAAAGATTTAAAAGTTAAGTTACATCGCTCGACAACTCGTTAAAGGTCGGGCCTCATAAGCTTTAATGTAAAGGCATCCTCTAGTATAGCTTGTTGCGCGGCTGGATTGTGTGTTGCAACCCACAAGTGGCCTAAGAGAATAAATATCCCGTAAATAAATTAGAGAATATTCCGATATTTATTACGTTGAAAGCTGAGAGTCTATCAGGCTTCGTGATATAAAACAGGAGGTAGCGCGAAACGTGAAGAAAAATGGCAAGCTCCGCCAGGAAGAGGATATTGGTAGGTTGCACGGGTAGCGTGGCCACGATCAAGCTGCCGCAGCTGGTGGAGATGCTGCGGCAGAACAATCTGGAGGTGAGGGTGGTCGTGACGGAGAGAGCCAAGCACTTCCTGAAGGACGCTCAGCTGCCGTCTGACATCCAGATCTTGTCCGACACGGTGGAATGGGCCGCTTGGCAGGACCGCGGCGATCCGGTGCTGCACATAGATCTGGTGAAGTGGGCGGACGTGTTCGTGATAGCTCCGTTGGATGCCAACACCCTGGGCAAGATTGCCAGTGGCATATGCGACAATATTGTTACCTGCGTGGCACGCGCATGGGATCCTTCAAAGCCGCTCCTCTTCTGCCCAGCCATGAACACCAGGATGTGGGAACATCCAGTTACAATGCCTCAAGTAAGATGAAAAGAATTGCATATAAAAAGTTAAGGAGAAGAAAGTGTCGAGACAACATTCTTTAAAACAGCTAAATAGATAAAATACATGACATGATTCTTTTTATATTTGCAAAAGAAACACATGTAATTTAAATAAATATTATATATATATATATATATATTATTTAAATTAAATTTAATTTAATTTGTGCAGATTTGTTGAAGTTGCATCATTGAGAATCAGAAATTTAATTAAATCAGCGTGTGAAAAATTGCAGTAAAAAGATTAGAGAGGAACAATAAGAGATAAACATAATTAAATTTGTTCTGTCTTCTATGTGGTTTCGCGCATTTCATTTTATTTTTGTCTAATAAAGATTTTGTGCTTTCTCAGGTATCGCTGCTCAAATCTTGGGGCTACAAGGAGGTGCACTGCATATCCAAGACACTGATGTGCGGCGACGTGGGCATGGGCGCGATGGCCGAGGTGGACACAATCGTGCGAGCCATTATGCGAGCCTTGAATCCCTGGATAGATCAGTCGGATTTGTGTCCCTAGCAGCGGCTGAGATCGTCCTCCTCGTGCGAGCCTCGTCGACGACCTCGCGAGTATCGATGAAGCTCCGTCACGTCGAGTGCGCGATCGATCATCCCAAAGAGATCTCCAAAGATGCGCTATGGTGCGATTCGAACATACGCTTAATAAGGCACACGCCAATGTCGCTTATCTCCTAACAAAGAAATTGGCGGGACGAGCCTAAGGCCCGAATCTGTCGGACCGTATACGGATCATGTATAATTAAGAGTTTACGTTTTATCAGCGAAAACATCTTCAAATTTTTCTCACAGTTATGTTGTCCATCGAGAATTTTATTCTCTTGCTATTGTATTAGGACGAACTTATCATGTCGTCATGAGTTCACCGTTAGTTAGAGACCCTAAGCTACGTAAATAGCGAAATTTGAGTTTGAACGCATCATGGTCGTCATATCCTTTGCTCAACCTAAATCAATAAAATTAATCGTACCGTGAGGAACAAACGAGATAATCGTAATTTTGTCTGTCCAGTTGGCGTAATGCGATGTATAAAAATGCTGTAAAGAGAAGGAAAAAATTCTGTTGACATATCCTAAAGTTGATCCGCTGGAATGTACAATGCTTTTGTTAAATATATGAACAATAATATATAATATATATATATATATATATATATATATGCATATATATATGTATGTATATGTATATATACACATATATAATATGAATGAATGACAAATATACAAGATGTTTCTGCTTTCTCCACTTAGTATTATTTTTTTCAATGATGCGCACATAAAGTTATGCCGGAAATTTTCTACAACATGTCGTTGAATTGTTCGGTAAGATCACTTTATTTTCGTATATACACAAATAAAGCACTGACAATATATAAAATACAATATAGAGCATATAATCGGCACATTACATCGATTTTCTCTTAAGTTTGGAATAAACAGAGAACTGGAGGGGTTCTCGCCTCCTAGTAAAACTGCCGCATCGTAGTGATGCGTTCGCCTCTCCGTAACAAAGGTATACCCAGCCAGAAGATAAGAGTTTGTCAAGTTAATCGAGAAAAAGAAATATATCATTTATCTTCCGTTTGTCTGCGTCTTGTTGCTGCGCGCTTCACGGACATATAGTACATTCTGCACAATACGCGCGACTTACAATATACTATTATATAATTATATATAATATATTCATGTATATATATATACAGAGGTGGATGTTGGAAATACAAATACTACAAACTTCGCAGAGATTTTAATGTCGCTTTATCGCGATATTAAAACTGCAGTCAGTTTCTTCCTTGCGAAAATTCAATTAGCCTCCACCTTTCCACATTTCAATTTTCTATTATTTAGATTCTTGGTTACTGAAAGCTACATTTTTTTTTTTATAAAAGAGCTATTACTTATAAAATGCTGTCGAACTGAAGTCCACTCAAAATTAAATGCTGAGTGAAAGTTCGTTATTCATTTCCGCTCTTGAGACCTCGGTTCCGCTTAAAAAAAACCATCGGTGTCTCATGCTGAGAAGAAATCGGCGCTTATAACAAATTATGCAAGCATTTCAGATACACCGGCGCTGTATATGAAACTGCGAGACTGATTCTGTGTACCTCCTTGATATTACACTAACTACACTTTGATCGCGCGCGGTATATAAATATCACAGTTTACAAAACTGGCGACACTGCGTTTTGCCCGTGTCCTCTCTTTTGCTAAATTATACGGTATCAATAATTAATACAATATTTATATAAAATATGTGCTCTCTGTCGGAATCGGACTAATTTTATCGTTTTGAGATTGTCGATTCGATTCCAACTGATAAATCGCGTCACAATTTATGGAAGAGGCGATCACGGAATTTTTTGTCAGTGGCGCGTATTGGTCCTTAGGAGGGACGTGTATAATGAGGATCCCTGTCTCGATTTAAAAATCGCTGTAAAAAAGAATATCGAAAAAACGTTGGATGGATTTTCGGCAGTGATAGTTCGTAAATTTCTCCCTATCGAGATTGTCCGTGAAATATCCTCGGAATCTCGGCTTTCTTTCACATCTTCGGAGGACCCGTTTCATCCGTCATGCGATATAAAAAAAGTTGCTCTTTAAGTTAATTACATTACTTCGTATGTAAATGCGGTCGTATAAAAAGACAGTGTACAAAAATATGTATGCTACTGCGCAGCGCGCAACGGCGCGGTCTTTTCAAGATTGACGATCTAAGTCACGCGCTCTTTGTATTTGTACGAGAAAATTAAATGTCAATATAACTTTTTTTTTCTATCACCGAGATATAGAAAGTAAATGAAAGGTATAATAGAAAAAATTTTCATCGTAATATCGTATTTCAAAATTTTATAATTCGCCGCGCGCATTGGCTGTTTCAGATAATATACGTATATCTAATTCTTTGAAGACGTGGCTTCGTGACTTAGTTCGATCGATTATTCTTATAAAGCTTCGTTCGTACTGCTATCGCGATCTCTCCATCGGAAGCCTCAGGGCGACGAAGTCGATTCCTATGGCCTACGGATGCCGCAGGCATTCCTTTGAAACTCCAATCGATGTGCGGTCTTTCGTCTCCTGTTCACCGATCTGTCGACGTCCGCGCTTTAAGAATTCCAGTTGATTTTCCGGTATTCGTATTTCACACGCGAAATTCCCATATAAGATACGAAAATGCTCCCCGTCGTACATCGCCAGCTGGAAGGACACGTGCCTTATAATCTGAAAGCCCAAGATAAACATGACAGCTCTTTGATTTTCAAGTGTTTGATTTAAACGCGATTTTAAAATGTTGCTACTAATTTTTACTCGGGCCGTGTGAAATTTTGGAGAGAGCTCTATAAATGAAATTATTACATAATTCCACTTATAATTATATGTAAATGAAGTTAAAATAATACTCGCGGGCCTGGATTTTGAATTATTACGAAAAAAAATTGTACTAATTAAATTCTACATTTCATTGAATTACTTTTACACTAATTATGTAATGTTATAACTTTTTATTTATACATATAACGATTACAGATTATTTAATAGCGTCTTTTCAAATTAATATTTAATACTAAATAATCTTAAATATGACTTTAAAGTTTCCTTTTTAATTATGTCACTTTCTCTTCAAAAATTAACGAATATACGGGATCGATAAATATAATTACCTCGTTTTTACACGTATATTATCCTCATGACGAAGCTCACAATAACCATGAGAAATATCGACGTGATATCTCCTGTGACGACGATAGCGGAAGCCGAGATGATGCTTCCCGACTTCCTGGGCAGATTGGTCTCAATGTCATTGGTCTCCACATCCGGCGAACAGCCCATCCAGACCGGCGCTGACAATTTCTGTTTCTCGTGTGCCACCCTCATCCTGAGATCATCAAATTCCCAGAAACCCTTGCCTTTGAAGAAGTACGTTTTGCCTGCCGAAAAAAAATGGAAAGTTATTACAGCAAGTCGATACAAAGTTGCATACAGAGAATTATTTATGATATTAGAAAAATCAAGAATCACAAAATCAAAATTGAGTGAAATATTAAGAAATAGATATAGCTGTCGTCTTGTGTTTTTATGTATTAAAATATATATAATCTTTATTGAGAGTATTTAGCATTAAATTTATTGTATATAATAGAATATAGTTTGAATAAAATAAGTATTTAAGTAATTATTATTTATTTTTATAATAAAATGATTTTGTCCGAAAGTTAAATTTTCAAAATTTACCATTTTTCCATTGAAAAACGGCATCGATGTCATTCCCAACGCCGGCGAACATGCTCATATCTCTGGGATAATCGAGTTCCACGTAATTAACAGATTCGTCGAACCTGCGAAGTAGAGGATTAAATTGGCGAATTAAATTTTATTTATGGCTAAAGAAGAGAATAGGAGCTCAATGTGAAATCAATTACATGGATTACAAATGCACAAATGTCATTATACGTTCTAAAAGTAGAACGCATTTCGGTCCAGATCGTTTTTCATTTCAATACGAGGCAAAGATTGCTGTACAACAAATCGATAATCTGGGAGTGTAATGGATTCTAAGCAAATAACGCGAAAGAGTTACAAATCCGACTTGAGAAGTCGCGCTTAATTCAATCACCTCCAATACATGGAGCCGCTGAAGAAGTAAGTCCTCTCGTTGTGGCCCCACACCATAGCGCCGTCGATCTTCTCCAAGGAGGCCGGCAATCCCAGATATGTGAGCGGCTTTGGATAACCCGGCTCCAGACGATTGGCGTCGAAGACGTAGTACTCGCGGCCGATGAAGAAGACTATCTTTTTATTATTCGGTCGCTCGTACACGGCGTCCACGTGATCGATGTCCGACGGCAGATTGAACAACCTGGTGATCTCCGCCGGATATCCCTCATATATCCCGTGATCGCCTATTCGCCATAGATACTGCAATGCACCAAAGAGGATTCCTCAGTATAGAGATTCTAACTTTGTCAGTCATTTTATTATATCCTTCGAGAAAACTGTGCCTCAGAAAATGCACATTTATAATTGAAATGATTAAATACATACAATACTTAAGATGTATACGGAGATGTATAAGGATTAATTATTTCGAACGTAAATGATCTTCTGGTATAATGTATCTTGATTTTAAATGCGTGAATTATTCTATTTTATGCTCGCGCGGAAATCAAAAAGATAAAGATATAAAATATTGAGTGCTCATTTCTTTTGCGCTATTATTGCTAGAAAATAGATATCGAGATTCTTGCAATGTAGTGAAATAGTGGCGTCTAAAAGGTGCATTATCACATTATTTCGAGATAGAAAGAAGAAAGAATAACTCAAAAAAGAGGGATTTTTTTGCTCGTTCTTTGGGATTAAACTATGTGCCCAATGCTACTCTATAATCAGGGCTGGACAAAATACACCATTAAAGTATTTAAAATACAAAATACTAGGAATCTTAGTATTTAAATTACAAAATATAAAATACTTTCAATTTTTTGATATTTGAAATACAAAATACAAAATACTTTCAATCCTTCGATTTGGAATACAAAATACAAAATACTTTTAAGTTTTTATTTTGAAATACAAAATACTTCTTTGAAATACAAAATATTTTTTAATTTAATCCTTTAATTACAATAATATATAATATTAAACTCCCCCCTTCAACAGTCTCCTCTCCACTTTTAGAGAGAGAAAGAAAAATTGTTTTACTCTCTTACATTCTTTAACAGTCCTGTATCAATCACATGAGAAATCTATTTACTAATGTGAGATTATGAAATTTGACTCTGATGACTTGATATTGCTTGAAACTTGACGAAAATAATTAGTGTCATATGAAATAATGGCTATAAGAATTTTTATCAATA